CCCATGTTAGGAAGGCACTGGGAGCTATGCACGCTTGAGTCATCTCGACTGAAAACTCATTTCTTTAGAACTGCTTTTTGTGTTTCGGGGCCGTCCATAAATGACGTCACGCACCTAGGGGGGGGGGGGGGGTGGGTCAAAAAATCGTCCAAAATCGCGTGACGTCATTATGGACGGCCTCTTAGTTTGTTGTCCTTCCCCCGCACCCCCGATAAGCACGGTTGGCTACGTACGGAGCGAAATAAGTTTTTACATTCATACACTCTCCCACCTACCCCGTGGCAAAAAGTGTCGCTTCCAACTCTCGATCCACTCTACCTCTCTAACCTATCTATGTGCTAGGAAGACAGGGGGTCAATTGCTCGAAACGTCGCCTGTTTTATAAGCAAGTATGTTTAAGGACACACACACACACACACGGCGGTATTGACAATGCGCGTGGCTCCTCATTTCTTCCCCCCTCTCGGCTTTCACCCCAAGCGGGTGGCACTTCGTCTCCAGTCATGAAAGCTTTATATCGAAAAACAAAGGTTGTGTTTGTGTGAGTTCGGCCACAGCGTGAATGTGAAATTGGATTGGTCGGAAAAATCCTGAACGTTCAATTGAAGGTCAGACTCGGCACGTGAGTGTGACCTCAAGGCGTTCGATGTCTTTGCCATTTTCTGATTCCTTGCAAAAGGTATCCGTTTGCTGTTTGAAACACCTTAATAATAATAATGCAATTATAACGCGCGCAAATTTGCGGACGTAACGGCCGCAACTCAGAGGCGCGGAGCCAAGCTCAGAATCGCTCGAAAGCACGTGGCTTGTAGAGGTGAGTTTTTAAGTGTCTCTTGAAGGAGGCGATTGAGGTGATGCTGCGAATGTGCAGAGGGGTGACGGCGTTCCAGACTGTTGGGGCTGCCACCGAGAAGCGGCGCACAGACACGATGACCATCCTGGATCTTGGTATCGAGAGGAGGTCGTGAGTCGCGCTGCGCAGGCATCTGCCGTGTGCTGAGCTGCAAGTTGTCAATAATGAAGAAAGGTGCGGGCGGGGCAGAAAGGGTTAAAACCGACTATTTATTTTTCATCCTTTGCCATGTATATTCCACGAGCAGTGATGCTGCCTGGAAAACGTTGCTGCTGTGATGTCGCGATTCGTCCAGCTCTCTTCGCCGTCCACGACACACACACGCGCACACTCGCATCCTGCATTTGAGAATTCAAATATTGAAATACTTATGTAAAGTTTACACAAATGCTTTCCCGGAAGCTTTAGTGGCACAGTGGCAGAGGTCGCAAACGGGTTTTGATTCCTTACCCGTACCCGTACCCGGCCGTACCCGATACCCTACCCGTACCCGGCCGGCCGGGTACGGGTATCGGGTACCTGATTGCGACCTCTGGGATGAAGCCATGTTGCAGGCGCGTGTGGGTTGATTCTAGGAACTTGAATTGTGAGAAGAGACAAGACGTTGGGAATGAGTGACAACGGTTACTCACCAGTGACTCACGGCCTACCCCTACCCGTACCCGTACCCGGCTGCACCAGGGTCGCAAACGGGTGCCCGGCTACCCGTACCCGGCCGGGTATTGGGTAGGGTACGGGTAGCGGGTACCCGGTTGCGACCTCTAAGCAGTGGTCAGCACCCTGCGCTACGAACTACGGCCACCCGAGTTCGATTCCCGCTCACGGCCACCCTAGTGAGTACATGCTGCGGTGTGTGAAACATCGCCGCTGGGGAGACAAAGGCGGACGGGCGGCCGTGGTTGCTGTCAAACCCACCCGGCCTTCATCGGTGCCTTACTCGCTAACAGCACTTGCCCAAAAAGTCTGGGAAACTAGCGCGTGTGCGCGTCCCTGCGGACACGCGAACACAGCGTGTTCCGAGTGTGGGAGGCAAACCGCAGCTGGAAATTTCGTGGCGTCATCGGTGACCACCGTGCCAGTGGCATGGTGACTGTCCGGTGAATGTGCGTGCTCGCCACGCGTGCGCTGCGCCGTGCCACGAATCCCCGGCCTCCCCCTAGGTCGACTCGGCCTCAAATAAGTACGTGATGCGGTGTGAAAAACATCGCCACTGGGGAGACAAATGCGGCCGGGCGTGGTGCTGGCCACCCACCCCCCCTCGTGTGTCGTTGCGGCCTTCACAGGAGAGCCCGAGTAGCAGTAGTAGCGTGGCGGTCAGCGCTACGAACCCCGGCGAGCCCAGTTCGATTCCCGTTTACGGCCACCAACGCCGGTGACGATCATTTGAACCGGTCCTGGGCCTCCCCTAGGTCGATTCAGCTTCAAAGTAGTACCTGGTGCGATGTGAAAACATCGCCACTGGGGAGACAAAGGCGGCCAGGCGTGGTGCTGGCCCAGCGCTTGCCCCAACATTCTGTTGAGGCCACACGGGGGAATCTTTGTGCAGGCGCATGGACCGCGGTGCCCTTATGTGGGATCGGCTGCCACCAGCTGATCCTCTGGGGCCTCCCATCGATGATGATGATGATGCTGTTGATGTTGTTCGTGTTGACGGTGACGCTGGCGGTGTCCGTTGTTGTTGTTGGTGGTGTTGATGGTGATGCTGATGGGTTTATGGTGATGGTGGTGTTGATGGTGATGGTGTTTATGTTGATGGTGGTGTTGATGGTGACGCTGATGGTGTTTATGGTGATGGTGGTGTTGATGGTGATGGTGTTTATGTTGATGGTGGTGTTGATGGTGACGTTGATGGTGACGCTGGCGGTGTCCGTGTTGTTGTTGGTGGTGTTGATGGTGACGCTGATGGTGTTGATGGTGATGGTGTTGATGGTGATGGTGGTGTTGATGGTGATGGTGTTTATGGTGATGGTGGTGTTGATGGTGTTTATGGTGATGGTGTTTATGGTGATGGTGGTGTTGATGGTGATGCTGGCGGTGTCCATGTTGTTGTTGGTGGTGTTGATGGTGACGCTGATGGTGTTTATGGTGATGGTGGTGTTGATGGTGACGCTGGCGGTGTCCGTGTTGTTGTTGGTGGTGTTGATGGTGACGCTGATGGTTTTTATGGTGATGGTGGTGTTGATGGTGATGGTGACGCTGATGGTGACGCTGATGGTGACGCTGATGGTGTTGATGGTGATGCTGTTTATGGTGATGGTAGTGTTGATGATGACGATGATGGTGTTTATGGGGATGGTGGTGTTGATGGTGACGATGATGCTAGCGGTGTTGTTGGCGGTGTTGATGGTGACGCTGATGGTGTTGATGGTGATGCTGTTTATGGTGATGGTAGTGTTGATGATGACGATGATGGTGTTTATGGGGATGGTGGTTGTTGATGGTGACGATGATGCTAGCGGTGTTGTTGGCAGTGTTGATGGTGACGCTGATGGTGTTGATGGTGATGCTGTTTATGGTGATGGTGGTGTTGATGGTGATGATGATGGTGTTGATGGGGATGGTGTTGTTGATGGTGACGATGATGGTGGCGGTGTTATTGGCGGTGTTGATGGTGACGCTGATGGTGGCGGTGTTGATGGTGACGATGATGGTAGCGGTGTTGTTGGTGGTGTTGATGGTGGCGGTGTTGTTGGGGTGGTGTTGATGGTGACGCTGATGGTGGCGGTGTTGATGGTGACGCTGATGGTGTTGATGGTGATGGTGTTTATGGTGATGGTGGTGTTGATGGTGACAATGATGGTAGCGGTGTTGTTGGTGGTGTTGATGGTGACGCTGATGTGGTGGTGTTGATGGTGATGCTGTTGATGGTGACGCTGATGGTGGCGGTGTTGTTGGTGACGATGATGGTGGCGGTGTTGTTGGTGGTGTTGATGGTGGCGATGATGGTGGCGGTGTTGTTGGTGACGATGATGGTGGCGGTGTTGTTGGTGGTGTTGATGGTGACGATGATGGTGGCGGTGTTGTTGGTGACGATGATGGTGGCGGTGTTGTTGGTGGTGTTGATGGTGGCGGTGTTGTTGGTGGTGTTGATGGTGACGATGATGGTGGCGGTGTTGTTGGTGACGATGATGGTGGCGTGTTGTTGGTGGTGTTGATGGTGGCGGTGTTGTTGGGGTGGTGTTGATGGTGATGATGATGGTAGCGATGTTGTTGGTGGTGTTGATGGTGACAATGATGGTGGCGGTGTTGATGGTTGTGTTGATGGTGACGATGATGGTGGCGGTGTTGTTGGCGGTGTTGATGGTGATGCTGACGTAGACGATGATGGTGTCCACTTTGTTCCCCAGGCCCAGCAGGTGGAGCTGGTGGACTATGAGGGCGTGGTGGAGAGGGTGGTGGGCGCTCTGGGCGACTCCGCCGAGGGAGAGGAGCTACGGCATCTCGTGCTCTTCCGGAGGACGACGTCACGGTAAGCCTGCCCCAAAGGTAAAGATCCCCCGTGTAGCCTTCGCAGACTGTTGGGGCAAGTGCTGTTAGCGAGTAGCAACACCTATGACGGCCGGCACGGCACACGAAGGAAGTGGGTGGCCAGCACCACGCCCGGGCGACTTTGTTTCCCAGGGTGGCGATGGTTACACACCGCACCAAGTATTCATTTGAGGCTGGGTCGACATAGAGGAGGCCCAAGACCGGTTCACACGATCGTCACTGGTCTTGGCCGTGAGCGAGACTCGAACTCAGGTCGCAGGGTTCGTTGCATAGTGCTCTAACCGCTTTGCCACCGTTCCCCCATAGCCTGCCCCACACACACATATAGCTGCATCAGCAGCATCATCATCATCAGCAGCAGCAATGTCATCAGCATTATTAGCATCATCAGCAGCAGCATCATCATCAGCATCATCACCAGAATCACCATCACCATTATCAGGCAGCAGCAGTATTATCAGCAGCATAATCAGTATCGGCAGCATCAGCATCTCATTATCAGCATCATCAGTATCATCATCATCAGCATCAGCAGCAATGTCATCAGCATTATTAGCATCTCATCATCAGCATCGGCAGCACCAGCAGCATCAGCATCACCACGTCAGATTCATTGACAACACAATTGACATCTAAACGAGCATCATCATCAGCAGCAATGACACCAGATTCGCCCAACACATCGAGGCCAGCGAAGCCGGTGAGAGGGAATCGCTTCGCAACTCACCTCGCGACCGACCGGCGATGGTGACCGACCGGGAGGGTCGCCCCTTACAGGCGGAGCTTCGTGCGTACCGGCTCGACCGCCTGTCATGCAGAGAGGCGTCGTAGCGCCGTCGTTCTTGAAGACGTTGTTACTCGTCGCAGAGAACCGCAGCGACACGACCGCCGCACTTTACGCTAGCTGGCGCCAAACCGTGCCGCACGCACTCTCACGTGGCCTCGTGGGGAGGCTCGGTACGTCGCACCGACCTCAAGACGAACCGATGAAGTTACTTTACGTTCTTTGGGTCTTTCGGTAAAGTCACGTAGATAGGTTCAAAGGAAATAGCAGGAAACTACGACGTTTCGATCGCAACACAAGCGGTCGTCATCAGGAGGAAAACAGAGGGGGAAAGCTGCTGAGGCAGGCTGTTTTAAAGGTTTAAAATGGGTGTAGCCCAAGGGTCATAAACGGAGTGATTTAATGTGAGAAATGACTTTACTTTATTTTAGGACGTGTACGTTATCGGAACGGCGTCGGAAGAAAATCTTGATGACGTTTCACGTGTCTCATCGGAGCGGGGGGGGGAAGGGTTAAGAGGAGCTCGCTGACTGTGAGTCCCCGTTCCCCCACCCCCCCACCACCACCCACCCCACGACCCCCCCACCACCCCCCACCACCCCCCCCACCACCCCCCCACCACCCCCCCCACCACCACCTCCCCACCACCCACCCAACCACCCCCACACCACCCACCCCAACACCCACCCCACCACCACCCACCCCACCACCCCCACCACCCCCCACCACCACCCCTTGTCGCCACGCAGCCCGCGACGGAGCCCCGGGAGCGGAGGACGCTGCGCTCCGCCGTCCCGGAGCTGGACGGCGCCGACGCCACCAGCCTCCTCGTGCGCGAGGTGAGGCCACAAGCGCCGCGGCGGCGGCGGCGGAGACGCCAACGTCGGCATCGTCAGCAGTGCTACCGGCTGATGCTACCGGCTGATGCTACCAGATGATACTACCAGCTGATGGCAGTGCTACCGGCTGATACTTCCAGTTGATACTACCAGGTGGTGGCAGTGCTACTAACTGATGGTACCAGCTGCTGCTACCAGCTGATATTACCAGCTGATGGCAGTGCTACTAGCTGATGCTACCAGCTGACACTAAACGCTGATTCTACCATTTGATAGCAGTGCTTCGCGGTCGGTGGGCCATCGGCCGCTGCATGGTGTACCAGACTCTTTGTAGACATTTAACCAGTTCAGTAGAACATGTAAGACATAACTATTTAATGGGGCTTAGAAGCGACTTGGCTATCACAAATGATATTCTCAACAAAGTGGCTCATTGTCGTGTGGAATTATAGCAGCCAAATACTCTGAGCTCACGTTGATTATAAATGTGGAGGGAAACACTGGAAGACCCGGAGAAAAATCCATGCCACCACGGGGAGAGAGACACGCAAACTCCAAATATACAGCAGCAGGCGTCAGGGTCGGGATCGAACCCACGACCTCCTGCATACATGGCGAGGTAGTTAACATCTCCTAGCCACCGTGATGACGAGGAGAGAGAGACGCAGACTCCAACTATACAGCAGCAGGCGTCAGGGTCGGGATCGAACCCACGACCTCCTGTGTACCAGGCGAGGGAGTTAACAGCTCATCACCGTGGCGCACGGTGGCTGCCTGTGCTCCCAAACGGTCGCTGTCTTTCTCTCTTTCTCTCTCTTTCCGCCTGTCACAATCTGGCCTCCATCCGCTTTCGCAGTGCATCAAGACCTACAACTCGGACTGGCACGTCATCAAGTACAAGTACGAGCCCTACTCGGGGGACGTGCATCGTCTGCCCAGGTAGGCCGCAGGCTCCTCCCTCCACTCCTCACGGCGTCGCGTCGTGGAGACACCCTCGTTACTCAGGGCTTTGATTTCAATGGCGGATCTCGCGTTTGAGATTTCGTGATGGGGGCTCGCGTAACATTTTACAATCGGGTTTTGCGTTTCGTTTTAAGGCCGGGTCTCGGTTTCAAATTTCTCGTTGCGTCTCCTGTTTTGGTTTTAAAGGCCGGGTCTCACGTTCAGATTTCTCGATGGGTCTCCTGTTTTGGTTTTAAGGCCGGGTCTCGCGGTCAGATTTCTCGATGGATCTCATGTTTTGGTTTTAAGGCCGGGTCTCGTGTTCAAATTTCTCGATGGGTCTCATGTTTTAAGGCCGGGTCTCGCGTTCAGATTTCTCGATGGGTCTCGCGTTTTTGTTTTAAGGCCGGGTCTCGCGTTCAGATTTCTCGATGGGTCTCGTGTTTTGGTTTTAAGGCCGGGTCTCGTGTTCAAATTTCCTCGATGGGTCTCATGTTTTAAGGCCGGGTCTCGCGTTCAGACTTCTCGATGGGTCTCGCGTTTTTGTTTTAACGCCAAGCCTCGCGGCGTTTAGATTTCATGATAGTATGTCACGTTTCAGTTTCAACGCCGGGTGTCGTGTTGTTTAGATTTCGCGATAGCGTCTCGCAGTTTTGGTTTCAACGCCGCGACGATCATACTGTTGTTCTGTAAACAGAAAGGACCTGCAGACGGACCGGCTCGTGAGTCACCAGTTCGAGATCGATGAGGTCACAGAGAACGACGAGGTGAGATGCCCTTGGCGGAGCGATGGCCACTTTGCCCAATTGAATCCTCCGCATTTCTTTTTTCGCAACCGATTTAGTTTTCTTCTGCTCCCGTTTAAAAATAAATAAATAAAAGTTGGCTCTCTTTGTTAACCAAATTCATTCTTGCTCACACATTACATAATTGGGATGGGCAATAAAAAAAAAACAAATGGCAGTATCGCCACAGCCCTTCCCTACTGGCAGGCTTATGCATGCCCAATTGCAGGCCACTGCCGCGCATTACTTATCCATCATGGGGGACAGCTGCCACTGGGGGTCACCTAGGTCACAGCGCCGTGTACACACAGCAGCGGCGTGATGCGAGACGTGGAATCGGCGTGCAGAGAGTGGCTGGGAAAACAACACAACTTCTAAAACTATAAAAACAAAACTAGACTTGTTTATTTTACCAGGTAAGGCCCACTGAGGTGCTGTATAGCTCTTCTTCAGAAGCCACGTGACCATCACAAATGATTGCTCAACATTTGGCTTATCATCGTTTGGAAATTTATAGCAGCCAAATACTCTAAGTGCACGTAGATTCTAAATGTGGAGGGGAAAAAGCGGAGGACCCAGAGAAAAATCCACGTGGCCACGGGGAGAGGGACACGCAAACTACAAATATACAGGCATCATGGTCGGGATTAAACCGTGACCTCCTAAAACCAGGCGTTTAGAGCATCTGGCTGCTATAAACTTCTACGTGATGATAAGCCACTTCGTTAAGCTATCATGTGATGGCTAGGAAGCTTCTGATAATAAAGAGATATATACAGTAGCTCAGTGGGCCGTACCTGGTAAAATAAAATAAAAAATATTTTTTTTAGTTTAGGCTTGCATACACATCACTGGTCCATACACAGGCGCCCATGGACTCACGTTGATAGAGTTGTGGTGAAACCGGCTTCACAGGTAAAGTCAGTTGGTGGTCTCTGCCCAATCGCCAATGGCTGCACGGAAAAAAAACCCATCAATTAAATTTGGTTTTGCACTTCATTTCGCTGAATTTCAGCTCTTGAGAATTAAATTAGCATCAATTGTTTGACCGGGATTTCAATGTTGGTGGGAAAGTACGCCCACTGCTGTGTAAAGGATAAAAATGCCACTTTTGAACGATTTTTGTTTGTCATTCCACGTCGCGGCTGTTCTTTGACAGAATGGCCCCACACAGCTTCGTGAGATTCCAAATTCCTCATCGCATGACACGATGCGAACCACATCATTGTAGAAATTCCCTGTGCGTGCATGACCTCTGTGCGTGTCGTCCACCGTTCCGTGTCTGTGTGTGACCTCTGCGCGTGTCCGCCCAGGCTTCCCTGTCCGTGCGTGACCTCTGTGCGTGTCGTCCACCGTTCCGTGTCCATGTGTGACTTCTGTGCGTGTCGTCCACCGTTCCGTATCCGTGCGTGACCTCTGTGCGTGTCACCCAGGATTCCGTGTCTGTGCGTGACCTCTGTGCGTGTCGTCCACCGTTCCGTGTGCGTGCGTGACCTCTGTGCGTGTCGCCCAGGCTTCCGTGTCTGTGCGTGACCTCTGCGCGCGTAGTCCACCGTTCCGTGTCCGTGCGTGACCTCTGTGCGTGTCGCCCAGGATTCCGTGTCTGTGCGTGACCTCTGTGCGTGTCGCCCAGGATTCCGTATCCATGCGTGACCTCTGCGCGTGTCGCCCGGATTCCGTGTCTGTGCGTGACCTCTGCGCGTGTCGCCCAGGCTTCCGTGTCTGTGCGTGACCTCTGCGCGTGTCGCCCAGGATTCCGTGTCCAGTGGCCTCGCTGAGAAGTGGCGTCACCAAGCAGGGCTGGCCTCTACAAAGGCAACTTCACGAGCACGAGCAGCGTGACCATGAGGTGAGCGATGCGCTCGGGGGCCTGTGCCCAGATTGGAATCCTCACCGCACAGCAGGTAGCATTGCTATCCACCGGCTGCGCTGCGATCAGCTGATCGCATTGCTCTCAGCTAGTAGTATCAGTTGGTACTATTGCTATCAGCTGATCGCATTGCTATCAGCTAGTAGTATCAGCTGGTACTATTGCTATCAGCTGGTAGCACTGCTCTCCATTGGTAGCACTGCTATCAGCAAGTGGCACGAGCAGGCAATTGCAGGGCTGCTCTTTTGTCCCCACCGTCCGTTTTGTCCCCACGCAGACGTTCAAGCGGAGGTTCTTCCACCTGAGCCAGCAGCCGGACGGGTCGTACGCGCTCAACTTCTACAAGGACGACAAGAACCTGGCCGAGGCCAAGGGCTCCATCTTCCTGGACGCGTGCCTGGGCGTCGTGCCGGTAGGACCCCCGGTGGGCGCGGGGCGGTGGGGGGGGGCAGGGTCCGGCTGCAGGCAGGACGACGGGCTTGAAGGTTGGCGAGTGTGTTACACACGGCGCTGCGTGGACCTAGGTGACCCCCCACTGTCAGCTGTCTCCGTGAGCGGCAAGTAGTACGCAGCGGCGGCCTGCAAGGGGGCGTAAGCCTGCCACTAGTGGGGGGCGATGCTTCCATTTGTTTTTGCCTTTCCTAATTGCTTAGTTTGCTTAGTTTGCGAGGATTTTTTTGACTAAATTCGGCAAAAAACTGAAACTAAACAATTAATTATTACTATTTTGGTTTAAAGCTTTCGTGACTGCAGGGATTCATCTTCTTGGTTATTTCGGTAAAGTCACGTAGAAGGGAAATAATCAAATAATACAAATATAAAACAATAGAATTCTCACGACGTTTCGACTGCAACACAAGCAATCATCATCAGGTGTGAAAAACACAACAAAATTATTTCCCTTTTACGTGACTTTACTGAAAGAACCAAGAAGATAAATGTATTATTATTTGACCAGTAAGGTCCACTGAGCTGTACAGCCCTGTTTGAGAAGTGACCTGGTCACAAATGATCGCTCAACGAAGTGGCTTCTCGCTTGGAAATTTCTCGCAGCCAAATACTCTGACAAACGTGACGTCGATTCTAAATCTGGAGGGGAAAAACTGGAGGACCCGGAGGAGAAAAATCCACGCGGCCACGAGGAGGGACAGAAAGAACAACGGGCGTCAGGGTCGGGTTCGAACCCACGACCTCCTGCATCGCAGGCAAGGTCGCTAACATCTCCTTGCCACCGTGATGATGATGAGCGAGAGACGCAAACCCCAATTAAACAGCAGGCCTTAGGGTCGGCTTCGAACCCACGACCTCCTGCGTACCAGCCGAGGCTACTAACATCTCCTAGCCACTGCGGCAAACGTGAACCAAGCCTCCGCCAGCGCGCGTCCTGAACGCCCCGCTGCCGTCGTCATCGCGGCCCACGGCGTCCGCCGCTAGAACCTTAACCTTCTGCTCCCCCCCCCACCCACCACCCCCCCCCACCCCCGGCGCGTCCCCGCCTGACGCCGTCGCTTTGCCGCCGCGGTTGTCGGCAGAACGCGAGGCTGCGGCGGCACGCGTTCGAGCTCAAGATGATGGACCGCAGCAGCGTGGTGCTGGCGGCGGGAGAGCGATGCCGAGGTGGACGAGTGGAGGGCCCTGCTCCACAAGGTGCTGCAGGGCCAGTTCGAGGCGGCCATGCAGGACAACAAGGCCCAGGAGGCGGACAGAAGGAGTCGAGGTGCGTGGACGTCCCGAGTCCTCTCTTGTTCTTTGCCGGCAGAGAGACGCTCTGTCCGTCTGTTGTCCGGAGGGCCTCATCGGTGTCGGGGACTGCCTAATGTCTAGAGAGCCCAACGGAGACTAGGACTGTCTGTCTGTTGTCTAGAAACCCCATCAGTGTCTGGGACTGTCCTGTCTATTGTTAGAGATCCTATCAGAGACCTCATCAGAGACCACTCTGTCTATTGTTAGAGACCTCATCAGTGTCTGGGACTGTCTGTCTGTTGTTTAGAGACTCCATCAGAGACCGGTCTGTCAGTCTGTTGTCTAGAGACCCCATCAGAGACCCCATCAGAGACCACTCTCTTTGTCTATTGTCTAGAGACCCCATCAGAGACCGCTTTGTCAGTCTATTGTTTAGAGACCCCATCAGAGACCGGTTGTGATTCGTACATCTGTTTGCATGAAGGCTCCATGCCGTACGGATGGGATGTCAAAGCAAAGTGGGTTTAACGAGTTCAGGGATATTGCTGAAAGGATGTTGCAAGATGCTCAGAAACACGACCATAGAACGCTACATCAGTGTACACAAGCAAAGTGGGAGTGCATGAATCATTGTGTGTTGTGGTCATTGTATTGTCGATAGTGGTGGTTGTCCTAATTAAACATGATCTGGCGTGGTACTGACGATACCGCCCCCTCGTGTGCCATGTAGGCCTTAATAGGCGCCCGCTAGCAGCACTCGCTCCAACAGTCTGTACGGCTACACGGGGGATATTCGCCTTTTGTCTGGTGGTCTCAATGATGAGAGTGGTGGTGATAGTCCTAATAGTGGTGGTTATGATGGCGTTGGTGATGCTGGTTGTAGTGATAATACTGGTTGTTTTGTTAATGGCTGTATTTATGGTGGTGTTGATGAGCGTGGTAGAGGGGATGGTGGTGGTGGTGGTGATGTCTTAGCGATTTGTCCACCGTGTGCTCTTGTGCAGATGACAGCGATTGCCCTGATGCAGCGGAGTCGTGCGAGAGCTCCGATATTCAGCTGCAGCTCGTCACGGTGAGTCTCGCGTACTGACCAGACTCACGCTGAGTCTCGGCGTGAGTCTCGGGGTGAGTCTCAGGGTGAGTGTCAGGGTGAGTGTCAGGGTGAGTCTCAGGGTGAGTGTCAGGGTGAGTCTCGCTTACAGACGAAACTCACGCTGAGTCTCAGGGTGAGTGTCAGGGTGAGTCTCAGGGTGAGTCTCACTGCCGGTCACGGTATAGAGCTGCTACGGTGACCATTCTTATTCTATCACCGGCCGCTTGTCGATGTTTAACACGCACCAGACTCGGCTCTCCACCGGTCATTCCCGGTTGCCACTAACCGTTAAGTTAGGCCCGCTGCCGCTCCGGTCGTCTGCCAGGGCCATTCTCCCCCGGCGGCAAAGTGGTGCACCTCCCGAGAGCTCCGCCTAGACCGGGGCGGTTTCTGCGCGGCGAGATGCCGAGTAGGCCGGCGGAATGGGGGGATCACGTCGGGGGTGCGATGTCTCCTGCGCGCAGGATGCCAAGACGCACGAGGAGACGACGAGGGTGAGCAGGAAGGAGGGCCGGCTGAACGTGTTCGTGCTCACCCCCGAGATGCAGGTAGTCCCAAACGATCGTTTCACTCCGTGCGCAGCGATCGCTCGCCGGGTTCGTGTCGGTGACGTTTTGTTCAGCTGTTTACGGGTATTGCCATGCTCTAGGCCTCGGCAAGGTAAGGTAATTGTACCCTTTTTACCGGGTAAAAGGGTAAAGGTAAAGGTGTCGACATGCCAAGGGGTAAGGGTAAAGGGTAGGGTAAAAGGTAGGCTCGTTGCTTTTTACCTTTTACCTTACCTGCTAAAGGGTAAAAGGTAGGGTAGAGTGATTGTATTGTGGTAAGGTAAAAGGTAGGGTAAAGGTAGGCTCGTTGTTTTTACACTTTTACCTTACCTTGCCGAGGCCTACCGTGCTCTGAGGAATTTGGCGGGATGTTGACTACCTCTCCTGCCGTGCAGGAGGTCGTGGGTTCGAGCCCGACCCTGACCGCTGCTGTTATATTGGTGTTCTCTCTCTTTCCCCGTGGTTGTGTGGATTTTTCTCCGGGTCCCTCTGGTTTTTCCCCTCCACGTTTGGAGATATATGGGCTTCGATTATCTTGACCGCGATACACTTCCCACGATGCAAGCCACTTTGTTGAGCTATTATTTGTGGCCAAGTCGCATCTGAATACGAGCTATACAGCTCAGTCGTCTTTACCTTTTAAAATCCTTTATATTAAGTTCACTTGCTTGCTTGCTTGCGCGCTTACGACCGTGCAAAATCTTCGGTCGTTTTTAACCCACTTCCCGTGATCCAATCGAGCTGACATTTTGCACACAGACTCGTTGTGCGTGACAATTTATTTTGTGAAATTTTTTTTCCATAACTTTACACTTTTTAGGATTTTTTTATATTTAATTACCAATTGCTTAATGGTGGCAGGCAATCATCTGACCCATAGGTAGCAGCCATCTCAAGCCAGAGGACGAGAGGATTCTAGCCGCCACGCATATAAAGGATTTATAGTGAAAAACTTTGTTTTTACGGGTTAATTTTTTATTTTACAAGGTCGCATTCATTACACACAAAGTGCTTGCCACAAATGAACCACAATACGCTTGCTGACCTCGTCAAGGAGCACTCACCATCACGCTAAATCCGGTCATCCTCACAGCAGCGGCTTCTGGCTAGCCATCGCACGAAAGACGGCAACTGCATCGCGCGCTTTCAGACGCGCTTCCGCGGCCGTCTGGAACGCTCTTCCTTCCGATATTAGGAAGCCACTGGAACTATGCACTTTTAAATGATCTAAATTGAAAACGAATTCCTTCAGAACCGCTATTTGGGTGTCAGTTTGTTGTCCATTCCTCTACACCTCCGGTGCGAAACACGTTGAACATTACCGGTAAAAAATAAAAACGGTTCAGTCTTCTTGGTTCTTTCGGTAAAGTAACGTAGAATGGAAATAATAAAATAATAAAAATAAAACATAATAAAATAAGCCACTTATTTTATAATGTTTTATTTTTATTTTTTTATTATCTCCATTCTACCTGACTTTACCGAAAGAACCAAGAAGATGAATCCCTGCAGTCACAAAAGCTTTAAATCGAAATTTAACGGTTCAGTCGTTGAGCTTCTGTGCCGAGCGGGGTTGCTTGTTGGCTTGCGCTGCTCTTTAGTGCCTCCCCTGTGACCTCGCTTCACCGGCGCTGCCCCCCCGCCCCCCCCGCCCCCCCCCCACCCCCCCTACCCCCCCCACCCCCCCCCCACCCCTCCATCCTGCCCGCAGAGGATGAGCCCCATGGTGGGCGAGGCGGAGCGGGAAGCGAGGCCGCCGCGGGAGAAGAGAGCGACGCGGCTCCTCGTCTCCTGCCTGGGCTTCAACCTCGCCGTGCAGGCCTGCTTCTCCGACAGCGGAGGCGTCAAGAGCAACGTACGGATCACCCCACATAACAAAAAACAACAACAACAACAACAAAAAACACATCAAAAAGAAAGTTGTATATGTAAATTTTTTTTAAATGAAAAATAAAAAAATTGCGCCATTGGCAAGATCACCGTGAGAGGGACCCAGCGACGGGGAGAGTTGCGTTTCTAACCCCGCGGGCCGCCCCCCCTACGGCTTTACACGCTGCGGAGGGCGATAACCAGCACAGCGGGATACTGCATGCGCCGGCTTCATCGTCAACATTTGCCGAATTTAGTAAAAAAAAAAATAACTCCTGAATTATGTATTTGGGAAGGAAAAAAATGACAGCATTGCCCCCCCCGCCTACTGGCAGGCTTATGTCCACTTGCAGGCCACCGCTGTTTATGACTTGTCGTTCATGATGCATGGGCAGATAGTGCCCCCGTAGGTGTCCACTGTGCATTTCGTCATTTGCTTCCACTTTCCTCGGCCTTTGCATCAATATGGCTGAAGTAGTGGCCACATCTTTCTGGCACCAACCTGTCATGTCGTCGTCAAGCCATTCTCCGTTAGGTCTTCCTCTCTTTCCGGTTCCTTACATTTTGTCCGAACAACAACAACAACAAACACACTTTTATTTTTTCTGTTGTTGTCCACCCTACAAATAGTGCCAGTTTCCTTCTCATCACCGCTTGCATCATCAGGTTGTCTTCTATGTGCGACCGAAACGTCGTGGTTATTTTAATTTTATTGTAATATTTTTATTCTACGTGACTTTACCGGAAGAACCAAAGAATATGAATTCCTGCAGTCACGAACGTTTTAAGTCAAAACTTTTTCTAACTTCTTCGTTGGTCACTCATTGGCTAGTTGAGTACAGGATGAGGTAAAACTAAAACGAATAGAAATAATGTTATTTTACCAGGTAAGACCCACTGAGCTATGTAGCTCTTTTTCAGAAGCGACCTGGCCACAAATGATAGCTCAACGAAGTGGCTTATCACGTGGAAATGTACGTCGATTCTAAATGTGGAGGGCAAAACCGGAGGATCCGGAGAAAAAATCCGCACGCCCCACGGGCAGAGATAGAGAAAGAAAACACCCCATCTCCAAACATACAGCAGGCGTCAGGGTCGGGATCGAACCCACGCCCTCCTGCGTACGGAGCGAGGTAGTTAACATCTCGCTTCCACCCCTCAGGTGGAGCCGTTCTTCATCACGCTGGCCCTGTACGACCTTCGCACGGCGAGGAAGATCTCGGCCGACTTCCACGCCGACCTCAACCCCCCGGCCGTGCGTGAGCTGCTGGGCGGCTGCGCGTCGCCCGCGGTGCAGGCCAACGGCGACGTGGCGACGGCCGCCGGCGGCCAAGCCCGGCGGCCCGGGGAGCCTGCCCCGCCTAGCCTGCCCACCGAGGCGCTGCTGTACCCCACTCAGGCGAGTGTGGGCTCGCGGGGGGAGCGCCGGTGATATGTGTAATGTGTGTGTGTGTGTGTAACGTGTTTTTGTGTATGAGTGAGTGTGTGTGTCTGTTGTGGGGAGCGGTAGTGTAGCGGCTAGCGCGCTGTGCTACGCTATGAACCCGGCGACCCGAGTTCGATTCCCGCTCACGGCCAACACCAGTGACGATTATCTGAACCGGTCCTGGGCCTCCCCTAGGTCGACTCAGCCTCAAATGAGTACCTGGTGCGGTGTGTAAACATCGCCACTAGGGAGACAAAGGCGGTCGGGCGTGGTGCTGGCCACCCACCCCCTCGTGTACCATTGCGGCCTTCATAGGTGCTCGCTAACAGCACTTGCCCCTACAGTCTGTTTAGGCTATATGGGGGATCATTGTTGTGGGAAGCGGTAGTGCAGTGGCTAGCACGCTGCGCTACGAACCCGGAGACCCGAGTTCAATTCCCGCTCACGGCCAACACCGGTGACGATTATCTGAAAAGCTCTTGGGCCTCCGATACGATGCCTCGGCCTCAAATGAGTACCTGGTGCGGTGTGTAAACACGTTATCGATAGGTGGAGACTAACCCAGCGAGCCACTGGAGTGAATCGGTGAGGGCTGGATCGTGACCGACCCTGACCAGTTCACTCTTGACCTCTGTTGGGTATGGCCATCGCCACTGGGGAGACAAAGGCGGTTTGTGCGTGGTGCTGGCCACCCACCCGCCCCTTCGTGTCCCGTGCAAAGCCTTCATAGGTTCTCACTAACAATACTTGCCCCAACGGTCTGCTAAGCCTATACGGGGGATATTTGTCTTTGTATATGTCTGTGTGTGTAATATGTGTGTGTGTAACGTGTGTGTGTAATGTGTGAGTGCAATATGTGTGTAATGTGTGTGAAATGTGTGAGTGTGATGTGTGTGTGTGTAACGTGTGTATGTGTAGTGTGTGTGTAACGTGCGTGTGTATGTAACGTGTGTTTGTGTAACGCGTGTGTGTGTAACGTGTGTGTGTGTGTAACGTGTGTGTGTGTAATGTGCGCGTGTGTAACGTGTGTGTGTGTAGAGTGTGTGTAACGTGTGTGTGTGTAGAGTGTGTGTAACGTGCGTGTGTATGTAACGTGTGTTTGTGTAACGCGCGTGTGTGTGACGTGTGTGTGTGTGTAACGTGTGTGTGTGTAATGTGCGCGTGTGTAACGTGTGTGTGTGTAGAGTGTGTGTAACGTGCGTGTGTATGTAACGTGTGTTTGTGTAACGCGCGTGTGTGTGACGTGTGTGTGTGTACGTGTGTGTGTGTAACGTGTGTGTATGTAACGTGTGTGTATGTAACGTGTGTGTGTGTAACGTCTGTGTGTGTAAGGTCTGTGTGTGTAACGTGTGTGTAACGTGTGTGTGTGTAACGTGTGTGTGTGTGACGTGCGCGTGTGTGTAACGTGTGTGTGTGTGTGTAATGTGTGCGCATGTGTGTGCGTGCGCTGCAGGCCGTGTTCACGGTGTGCGACCCACACCCGGACGTGCTGCTGCTCGTGCGCGTGGAGAAGGTGCTGCAGGGCAGCGTGGCGCAGTGCACCGAGCCTTACCTCCGTGCCGACGACACGGGCAAGGTGGTGACCCCCCCCCCACCGCTCCCCACCCCGACCCTGCCGGGCACGCTGCGCCATCTCTCAAACACTTTTTTTTATTTTGCCGTCGACCGATACTGGCGCGTCGTCGTCGGACAACCGCACGCGTTTCGCTCGCACTGTGAGGTCAAACCAAACCGGGCGAATTCTGGACGGCAAGTGTGGTGTGCTGTGTTTGTGTGTGCTGTGTGTGCTGTGTGTGCTGTGTGTGCTGTGTGTGCTGTGTGTGTGGTGTGTGTGTTGTGTGTGTGTGTGCTGTGTGTGAGCTGTGTGTGCTGTGTGTATGCTGTGTGAGCTGTGTGTGTGCTGTGTGTGTTTGCTGTGTGTGCTGTGTGTGTGAGCTGTGTGTGCTGTGTGTGTGAGCTGTGTAAGCTGTGTGAGCTGTGTGTGTGTGCTGTGCGTGCTGTGTGTGTTTGCTGTGTGTGTGTGCTGTGTGTGTGTGCTGTGTGTGAGCTGTGTGCGTGCTGTGTGTGTGTGCTGTGTGCGTGCTGTGTGAGTTTGCTATATGGGCCAGGTTACTTCTGAAAAAGAGCTACATGGCTCAGTGGGGCCTTAGCTGGTAACATAAACAATCGTTGCACCATCCTCTCCCTCTCACCCCCACTCCCTGCCCGTCCAGGTTGCCCAGAAGTTGGTGAAGCAAATGCGGCAGTACTGTGGCCGTATGGGCCAGTATCACATGCCGTTCAGCTGGGCGTTCAGGTGCGCTCACACGCACACGCACTCGTACCATCCTCATAACCGTCATCGTCATCATCGTCATAATTGTCATCATCAAGACGGTCACCGCATCACACGCTTTCAGGTGCGCTCACGAGCACACGCACTCGTACCATCGTCATAACCGCCATCGTCATCATCGTCGTCATAATTGTGAGACTAGGCCAGGGGTCGGCAACCAAAATAACAAGAAGAGCCATTTCTTTCCAATTCGGTACAAAATTCAGTATTTCAAGAGCCGCAATGCATCTGAGTACATACTGTACATACGTACATATCGTCAAGAAGCAGCCCGTAAAGAGCCGCATGCGGCTCCGGAGCCGTAGGTTGCCGACCCCTGGCCTAGGCTCTAAGGAATGGGAGACTAGGCTCTAAGGAAAGCTGTCTCGGGTGTGGACCAATCAACTTCAAGGACAGTGCATATCATTATCAGAGTTATGTTTTTTGTTTGCATTATGACTGCAGGTATTGTGGTCTATGCAAACATGACTCCTCGTAAAAAAGGTGTCAGGTTTGTTGCCAGATAGAAGGGTAAAAAAAACAATTATCGTCATAATTGTCATCATCAAGACGGTCACCGCATTGCACGCTTTCAGGTGCGCTTCTGCGGCCGTCTGGAATGCTCTTCCCCCTGATATTAGGAAACCATTGGGAGCTATGCACGTTTAAATTATCTGTATTGAAAACTAATTTCTTTAGAGCGTTTTTTTAATTATCGTTTGTTGTCCTTCTTCCGCACCTCCGACTAGCACGCTTGGCTACGCACGGCGCGAAAAAAGTTCGACACGCACACATCACCGTCGTCGTCGCACCCTCGCGTCACTGTGCCGGGCACCGCTCGCGTGCGCTCCTGCACCCACCCACCCCCTCCGTCTCCCCCTCCTCGTCCCCCCCCTCCTGCCACCCTCCCCGCGCGCGCCGCAGGCCTCTCTTCCGCGACGTCAACGGGGCGCTGGACAAGGGCGCCTCCTTCTCCCCGCTCTTCCGCCAGGACGCAGGCAGGACGTCGAGCGACGACTGGCTCCGTGCGCTCGTCGACGTGCACAAGTACGCGCCGCGGAGGGGCGCGCGGCGGGGCGACGCTCACCGGCACAGAGCTGCCGACTGCTTAGTTGACCGTTGGGTATTTGTGCGAGTCTATGGGTCTCTACGCTAGTCTATGAGTCTCCACGTGAGTCTATGAGTCTCTATGTGAGTCTACCAGTCTCCACGTGAGTCTATGAGTCTCCACGTGAGTCTATGAGTCTCCACGTGAGTCTACGAGTCTTCGCGTGAGTCTTTGAGTCTCCACGTGAGTCTATGAGTCTCTACGTGAGTCTATGAGTCTCCACGTGAGTCTATGGGTCTCCACGTGAGTCTATGAGTCTCCACGTGAGTCTCTGAGTCTCTACGTGAGTCTATGAGTCTCTATGTGAGTCTACCAGTCTCCACGTGAGTCTATGAGTCTCCACGTGAGTCTATGAGTCTCCACGTGAGTCTATGAGTCTCCACGTGAGTCTGAGTCTCCACGTGGGTTCGATCCCGACCCTGATGCCTGTTGGATATTTGGAGTTTGCGTGTCTCTTTCGCCGTGGTCCTGTGGATTTTTCTCTGGGTCCCTACAATTTTTCCTACATGCGTTCAGAGTATTTGGCTGCTATAAATGTCCCCATCACAAGCAACTTCGTTGGGCTATAATTTGTGGCCATGTCACTTCTAAAAATTAACCCGTAAAAACAAAGTTTTTCACTATAAATCCTTTATATGCGTGGCGGCTAGAGTCCTCTCGTCCTCTGGCTTGAGATGGCTGCCACCTATGGGTCAGATAATTGCCTGCCACCATTAAGCAAATGGTAATTAAATATAAAAAAAAATTCCTAAAAAGTGTAAAATTTTTGAATTTTTTTTTCAAGAAAATAAATTGTCACGCACAACGAGTCTGTGTGCAAAATGTCAGCTCGATTGGATCACGGGAAGTGGGTTAAAAAACGACCGAAAGATTTGCACAGTCGTAAGCGCGCAAGCAAGCAAGCAAGTTAACTTAATATAAAGGATTTAAAAAAGAGCTGCATAGCTCAGTGGGGCCGTACCTGGTAAAATAAAAAAAACAGTTTAGTAAAAAAAATAGGTATAGAATGTTTCCCCCCAAAATCGCGAAAAGGGAATTCCCTGTTGTTTTCCAACGAAGGTGAAAAGCGCGGATGCCTTGGCTCCGTCCGTCTCTCACAAACGGGTGAAGGAGCGACGCTCGCAATAAAGAGCGGAGCGTGGGTGGATGATGAATACATGCGGCGGGGTGGCACAGTGGGCAGCACGGGTAGTGCATCCGCCCGTCATCTTAGTCAGTCTACATCATGGCACCAGGGCTTGTCCCAGGACCCCCTCCTACCAGCAGCGAGCTTTTGACACTCCACGTGGCCTCGAAGTGCACCTAGCCTGGCACAGGTGCTGCTGTGATGTAGGGGGTGAGGGGCGACTGTTTGTGTTGTTGTGCACACTTTAGCGTCCTCGGCTTATGTCATGTTTGTGATGTGATTGCATATCGGTGTTGCGTCTAAGTACGTATGTGCGCACACGGTGAATGTGCCGAGAGAGTTAGCGCGCTGCGCTACGAACCCGGCGACCCGAGTTCGATTCCCGCTCACTGCCACCACCAACACCAGTGACGATTATCTGAACCGGTCCTGGGCCTCGCCTAGGTCGACTCAGCCTCAAATGAGTACTTGGTGCGATGTGTAAACATCGGCACTAGGGAGACAAAGGCGGCCGGGCGTGGTGCTGGCCATCCACCCCCCTCGTGTGTCGTGCCGGCCTTCATCGGTACTTCGCTAACAGCACTTGCCCCAACAGTCTGTTAAAGCTATACGGGGGATCTTTGTCGTTGCTCTGCGTGTGTTGTCTGCAGGTCAGAAAAAATGTCGAAACTTCAAACGATTCCAGGCAGCATCAAAATTACTGTGGAGACTCTGCCGGCAGAACAGCCCAGTAAGACCTGCGTTCAAATGCATTCATATCACACTTGTTTAAGTTTTATTTGGTTTCGTTACACGGAGGGTCCCGATTTGCCAGTTTCCCGGATATTTTAAACGGAGACGTACGTACGTATGTTGACCTCTTCTTGGTTATTTCGGTAAAGTCACGTAGAAGGGAAATAATAGACGTTTCCGACAGACCTGTTCTTCACCTGAGGACGGCTGCTTGCGTTGTGGCCGAAACGTCTATTATTTCCCTTCTACGTGACTTTACCGAAAGAACCAAGAAGATGAATCCCTGCAGTCACGAATCTTTAAATCAAAATTTATGTTGAACCCCTTTCGCACCGTACGTAGCCAACCGTACTATGTGTGTTGAATTTCTTTCACATCGTACATAGCCACCCGTGCTATGTTGAACTTCTTTCGCACCGTACGTAGTCAACCATGCTATGCATGTTGAATTATTTCGCACCGTACATCTCCCTAGTGGCGATGTATACACACCGCACCACGTACTTATTTGAGGCTGAGTCGACCTCGGGGAGGCCCAGAACCGGTTCAGATATTTGTCACCAATGTTGGTCGTGGGCGGGAAATCGAACGCGGATGGCCGGGTTCGTAGCGCAGCGGCACGCTAACCGCTACTGCACTACCGCTCCCCCAACACCCCCCCTAGTCTAACAGTGAAAGACAGCGCGAGACATCTGGGAGCAAGGGGCGCTGGAAGACGTTTAGGTACAGGTGCAAGTAGGCGCTGTGTTTTGGATAAAGTTGATAATGAAGAGGGTGAGTGGAGGTGAGCGGGTTGACGGTGTTCCAGAAACGTGGAGCAGCAGCAACGTGGACAATCCGAATATACACCACCAGCCGCAGATGCCGAGTTTGTACGGATAGTCGGTGGCAAGATGTTAACGCTGTCGCCTGGTGTACAGGAGGTCGTGGGTTCGATCTCGACCCAAACGCCTGCTGCTGTATATTTGGAGTTTGTGTGTCTCTCTCTCTTATCATCATTACGGTGGCTGAGAGATGTTAACTCTCTCGCCTGGTGTGCAGGAGGTCGTGGGTTCGATCTCGACCCAAACGCCTGCTGCTGTATATTTGGAGTTTGCGTTCTGTCCCCGTGGCCGCGAGGGGTTTCTCTCCGGGTCCTCCGGTTTTTACCCTCCACATTTAGAATCAATGTGCATTCAGAGTATTTGTCTGCTGTAAATGTCCACGCGATAAGCCACTTCATTGAGCTATAATTTGTGGTCAGGTCGCTTTTGAAAAAGAGCTCAGTGGGCCTTAGTTAGTAAAATAAAACAGTTGAGTTTTAGTTTAGATCACGATGATGTAGATGACGACGGACAACAACAACAACGATGCCACGGCCCGATGTCTGGTTCCTCAGACATGCTGACACCAGGGTTGTCGCCCGTCATGGCCGGGTGGCGTCTCCCGGAGACCGGCCACAAACAGCGGCAGCAACGGCGGCATCGGGAAGCGGCCGTGCGTGCGGGAGGTGGACGACTTCCCGGCGGAGACAGCGCGGCACGCTCACCCCTACTCGGAGTACGCCAACCGTCTCTACGTGTACCCGCAGCGACTCAGTACGACGCGCAGAAGATCTTTCCCAAGGTGAGTCCCCGCCGACTCGTCCGGAGCGGGCCTGCGGAGGCTGCGTCGCCGCACGGAACCCAGGCACCTCCTCCTCCGCGCGTTAGGCAGCCCGCGCCGCCTGCAATGTCAAGATCTCGCTCGCCCTCTTTCAAGATCATCCACGAGCTCCACTCTGCTACCTCTCCCCTCCTCTCTCATCTCGCTCTAACTCCACTGCACACACTCTCCTACCTCGCCCCTCTTGATGGCGCTCACGGGATGGAGGGGGCAGGCTCACGGGAAGCCAGGGGGGGGGGCTCATGGGATGGGGGAAGGAGGGGTGCTTGCCAGAGGTCGCAAACGGGTTTTGATTCCTTACCCGTACCCGTACCCGGCCGCACCAGGGTCGCAAACGGGTACCCGTACCCGTACCCTGCCGCGTACGGTTTACCTGTACCCTACTCGATACCCGGGGGTACGGGTAGCCGGGTATCGGGTAGGGTACGGGTATCGGGTACCCGATTGCGACTTCTGGTGCTCGCGGGATTGTCGCTCTGCCGCTGTCTAACCCCGTGACGGTGCGACGTGCAGGCGAGGAACATCGCCATTCACGTGGAGTTCCGGGACTCGGACGAAGAAGGGACACTGCCGCTCAAGGTGCGATCGTCCCCCCCACACCCTCCCACCGCCCACCCCCATCACTCGCGACCCGGGTGGCGTCACCGCATTCACGCACAGCGGTGGTGACCGCGGGCAGCGCGACGCAACCCCAAACCCGAGAGAACAGCAGCAAAACACTCTTAAACGAGTGGTGTTGATTCTAAATGTGGAGAGAAAAACCGGAGGGACCCGGAGATAAATCCACGCGACCGCGGGGAGAGAGAGAGACACCGCAAACTTCAAATATACAGCAGCAGGCGTCAGGGTCGGGATCGAACCCACGACCTCCTGCGTACCAGGCGAGGGAGTTAACATCTCCTGGCCACCGTGGCGTCTGTGTTTGCGGCGCAGTGCATCTACGGCAAGGCAGGGCAGCCGGCGTTCATCAGCAGCGCCAACACGGCCGTCCTGCACCACCAGCAGTGCCCCGACTTCTGTGACGAGGTCAGTGCCGTCACGCTTGTTACACAGCCGTCGGCCAGGGGGGGGTGGCGGGGGGGCGGGTGGGGGGGGAGGGTGGCGGGGGGGGGGAGCGGGGGGGTGGCGGGGGGGGTGCGGGGGGGGGGGTGGCGGGAGGAGGGTGGCGGGGGGGGGGTGGCGGGGGGGGCTGCCTATTTTGCCTTCTTTCGACCTCCACTATGCTGCTCAATGTCTCCTCTGTCAGCTGCTCTCACGATGCGTCCTGACGTAAAATAGTCGCTCGCTAACTTCACCCGCGGTGCGCCGGGCGTCGTCTCCCTGTGCCCAGGTGAAGCTGGAGCTGCCGGTTCACCTGCACGGCAAGCATCACCTGCTTTTCACCTTCTCGCACATCAGCTGCGACCTGGGCAAGCGCAGGGACACGGCCGAGGCGGAGGGTGAGAACGCTCGCCCCTCCTCCTCCTCCAGTGCTGTGTGTTAGCATGCCGTGTGTCAGTGCTGTGTTAGCATGCCGTGTGTCAGTGCTGTGTGTTAGCATGCCGTGTGTCAGTGCTGTGCGTTAGCATGCCGTGTGTCAGTGCTGTGTGTTAGCACGCCGTGTGTCAGTGCTGTGTGTTAGCATGCCGTGTGTCAGTGCTGTGTGTTAGCATGCCGTGTGCCAGTGCTGTGG